ATAACATACATAACATACATACATACATACATACATACATACATACGTAAATACATACATAGATGCATTCATACATACATACATCCATCCATACATACATATAAACATAGGCGGCTGGCACGACATACTACAACCGTGGTGGCAGACTAAAGCTGTCTGAACTCGTGACCATTGTTGTATCTACACTGCTCTTCTGGTCGTATACCCCTCTCCGCTCGCACATATTACCAACAGCCGGGAACACACAACTTTCAATACAAGACTGGCAGTTGCTACAGGCTGTTGAGGTTGATGTGCTTTGTATGGGGGGCGAGAATTCCTGCCAGATTCCGGCAGCGTCATTATTCACATCCTTCTAGGCTGTTGACTCTTGGCTATCGACAACTAGCACTACCCATCACCGTTCTGCTGGACATCTATCGTCGTACCGGGCCTGGTTTAAAATAAACGACATTAGTTCGTTTCCTGCTCCTCCTGGCGGTGCTCCTGTTAAAAGCGACTTTGCGAAACCACGAGAGAAAATTATCTCGTTTCTTCTTTGTCTTTGCTGTGCCGCACGGCTTCCATCCATACCAGAGCTGCTAGAGTAGCAGAGGTTTGCATCTCTGTAGCTGGCTGGGAAACAGTATGCAGGCTTGGGAAACCGCTGCAGCGTCCTAACAAACACGAAGTATCATTCTGTGTTGCTGCCTCTCCAGAGCGTATCCGAGGTAGCAGGGGCATGATGAGGTGCGTCCAGACAAGCTTCAACTTGACCTTTCAGGACTGGAACGGGATCAGCATTGGCAGGGAGATTTCTGCATGCGGAAACGGTTTCCCATGCGTGCCTTGTTGGGCCCCTTCGCCGCATGAAAGAAGTTCTCGTACAAGCGGAGGCGGTCAGGGTGCTGAGTGCCAACAAAAGCAGAGCGGTATGTCTTGTCTTTCTAGATTTTGCTGTATGGCGTGACATGACGTGACATGAGGTTTGTGAGTCCGCGTCCGACGGGCAATATCTCTCTCCCTCTCTCTCTCCCACTCTCTCGGCTTGATAATGCTCATTTGTCGTTCCTCTCTTTCATCTCGCCTGGGAAGTCTTTTGGAACAAGGCTTAAGCTACGGGATGTGAAGATGCAGCCTAATATGGCTCGAGTGACATGCTAAGTAAGCCCATGCATACTTTGTCTCGCCATTGCTCGCAAATGGAAGAGAAGGATGACAGAAACCAGATCCTTTGGCACAGCTACTCACATGCAACCATTGGCTTGGCCGCAACTGATTGCAACCATTGCCAAGACTTGCACAGTTTGCGCCACTAAGCTGTTTGCCTCACGATGTTTCAACTGCCTGTTCTCCACTTCGACGAAACTTGAAACTGCAGGCTGCTTTAGTTATGATCTTTGATTGGGGACCTCCGGCTGTGCAGAGTTGCACCCAGAAGCAAGCACACCCGTCGAACGGTTGTCAGGTTGGCAAGTTCTGATTGGAACCATTTAATTTTAACGCTACGCCACCCGCCTCGGCTGCTGAGGGGCAGAGGG